CAGATGTCTACCAGTCTTGGCGCATTCGCCGTATTTGACGGACATCTAAGCGCGACATTACCGAGGTCACCCGATAGAAAAGAGCAATTTTCCATGCGTTAGGCTGGTGTCAGAGTCCGCGACCCGTCGCACGATTCGCGCGAATCGCGCGACGGATCGCTAAAAACTAATTTGCGTCGCGGTGGTGGGAATGACGACTGTTCATGATTCTACTGTTTCATATAAATGCTTCACATGTTCGAAAGGGCACTTGCGATTTTTGCGATTCGCGCGATGGATCGCGGACTCTGACCCCAACCTTACATGTCGAATTCACATTTACGATGAAGGGCGCTTACCGTGCTGAAGGGAAAATCTCCAAGCTCATACTTCTCCTCCGCACTTGCGGTGTCATGAAGATCAGCAACAGTGACAGGAACTGGCAATCTTTCAGCCACTTTCACTGACACTGCTTCTTTCGGAGCAGTCGTGGCAAACGAAACATCGCCGGCCCATCCACCAGCATCGGCAACAGAGAAGCTCTCATTCCACGCCATTTCTGAGACCTTTTAAATAGTATGATAAAGCGATGGGAAACAACAGATATAGAGCATACGTTCACATTCTGGAAACATCTCACTAGTGGTCAGATGAGCGGCTCGGAGCAACCAGAAATAATAATATAAGTAAGAGAAGAAAGGATGAGATTTGGAACACTTAAAAATACACTGCGGTTGATGATAAAGACTTCATAAAACTTTGAGTGGCTGCCCTTTTCGACAGCACGGCCGATATATGAGGTAGAGCAAAACTAAGAAAACCAAATAAGCACGCAAACCTTTGACTTTTCAAGAAGCCCGTGATTCTCAAAACCTTTTTCAGGTTTTTATTTGTTTAACAGTGATGGTCCTTTTACATTCCCACAAACACGTTTCTTGGGTCTATTCCAGTTAGGGGGGGGGCATCATGATGCAGTTTTTCCAGAAAGCTAGGGTAACTCCGAGCCAGGGGGAGTGTAGCCAGTCTAGGGGGTGGGGGTGAGGGCAGTCACTTGACATGCGTGAAAAGCTGGAATGTTCGAGTTCACACTAGTTCGCCGAGAAACTGCATCATGATGCCCCCTAACTGGAATAGACCCCGTTTCTTTTTCTTCTGGAGTAACAAACCACATGTGGCAAGCCACCTATGTCGTTGCCACGACCATTGCGTTCCTCGAACGTCGGTGAGCTTGAGTCGAAATAATTGGGTACAATTTGAAAGCAATGTAGGCTCTTGTTCAGTTTGTGCAGACAATAAATCATCAATAGTTCATTCCTTCTCCACTCTAATCCGTTTTTAGCGGCACCGACATGGTTTCGTAATTTTGATGCACTCTGCGCTCATGAAACATTCGAAACCATAGATGCGTCGAGGAAAGATTTTTAAACGCAAAGGTTGACTAATCACTAGTAAAAGTGAACTAGTGGAGAGCGATAGGGCTGATCTTCGTGAAAGCTGATGTTGTGGCAGGGCAGTCGCCGCGCGCGATCTCTGCTCGTCCGCGCCCTGTAGTACTAAGCCTAGGAGTGGGCAGGAACTTTGGGAAGATGAAAATTGCTATGATCCTGGAGTCCTCCCCTGCCCGAGGCTTAGTCCCGATTTAGCGAAGAGGAAATGCTTACACAGAAAAACGCAGAGATCGCGCGCGGCGACTGCCCCTCCCCCGAGCCACATTGTGCCTTTGCATTTTTCCTCCGTAACGGCCTTCCCCGGTTGAAGTTTGAGAAAGAAACCGGCTCTTTCTGTTTTACTATTACGCTGTTGAGGTTGTAAAAGTGCAATAGTGCTTAAATCAGGTCAGGCACAACTTACGAAAGAGTAGCAATAAATGGGGTGAAACTCGGGTTCGGGGGGGGGGCACGCGATGGCGCGGCGCTGTTTTCGTCTGCTGTACCATGGCTTAGTCACCAATGACGCGTATTTTGAAACGGCAACATAATACATACATTAGATGTAAGCCCTTCATCACGGCCCAGTATCCCAGTGGGGAGACAGAAATTTTAAAGGGATTTTCGTCCCCCAAGCCCTTCGGGGAGCATAGCATACGGCCCAATGGCGAAAGAGTGACTGTCCCTCTGGACTAAGCCTTGGAGGAGCAAACGAAGAGAGCGCCGCGCCATCGCGTGGCCCCGAGCCGAGTTTTATCCACAAATGGGATCACGTTGAAAAAAAAGGCAACGAAATCGAGCGTAACTCTAGATGGAAATGCAAATATTTGGCTTTGTAGTAATTAGTGCAGCAAGAGCCCGAACTGTACGCTTGGAATGAAGAGTAGATTTTGCTGAAGAATCGTGAGAATTCGCTACTTAAACGGGTAGACAAAGTGGTTGGGCATCCTCCAACTCCACTGCGTCAAATTCGAAATTGTACAAGTTCGGCGCGAAGCGACCCGGCCATTCAAACGAAATCCCCGCCGAACGTAATCCAATGATTTCCTCTGCGTCTCCTCCACGGGGTTGGACCAACAGACGAAGGCGCAGCAGGATTTTGAATGCACAGCTGCGTGACGTAGGATGCAGTGTGGTCAGTGCAATCAGCAACGGTACACCTTTTTGCACGGACGTTTGCATGTCAGTCTTCGGGAGTTCAATAAAACTGTGGTGGAAATTCTTTTAAATTTGCATCGGCGTCTCCATAACCACACCGAGCGGCCGAGGCCTGAGCAGATATTAGTTCGGTCAATCGTGGTACAGCGTGCGGAAATGTGGTCTATCAATATCTCTCCCCTGTTTTGGAATTTCTGTTTTTGCCTAATATGTTTTTTCGAATGTCTGAAGAGCTGAGGTTTTATAAATGTTTTAGGTGTGTCACTAGGACGGCGCTATTTCACATCTGTATTGCGCATGACGTCGCTTTCAAGTCAGCTTCAGTCACTCCGCACAGCTACAGCCCAGCATCAAACGGTAGAAAGGCGACATGTTTCCCTGCTGTTCGCAAAAAAGGAGGCTGAGGCACTCGACAGAGAAACTGTTTACAACATAGGTGAGTTACAGTGCAAACTGCGCAACTTTTGACATCATTCTCTTGACAACCAAACCAAAAGCTGCGGCATCAATGCAGCCTAATTGAATAACCGTCACGCCGTTTTACCAAGTTACTTTGTATAGGCTGCGTGGGCTTGCGAAAACTGAAGGAATTGGATGGAGAATTCGCTGCCAAAAACGATCTGTTCGACGAGTCTCGCCTGCATTTTCAACGTTCCATGATAACTAATGAGGAAAATCTTGCTCTAAATGAAAAGATCGAGAAACTGCTGTTTCTACTTTCTCCATACTTGCAGCATTTTGCATGTCAGCAAGTCTTAGAGTGGCTTGTTTTTAAGTACCAGGCAAGTTTCCTCCATTGCAGCATTGAGATCTTATGTGTCATGACAGGCTTATTGTTCAGATTTACGCCTACAACGCGGAGAGTATGATCTTGACATTCCTTCCCTTTCACGAAACTAATGTTTTTGGTCGTATTTTATCCATACTTGAATATAATTTCGCGACGTCGAAAGATTGGGCGTTTATGGAGGGTTTTGGCAAAAAGGAATATCCTGTTCCATTCAGCTCCGTGAGTTGCACTGATGTCTTTATTAAATTTTCGCCTTTATACAGTCCTTCCATTGCAGATTGTAAAAAACACGGTATCCAGTACTCATTCATTAATCACACGCCTTGGTGATCATTTAAACCGAGGAATCCAGGTCTTGTATTGCTCAACAGTACTTGTCTCCAGTCACGTGGAAATCATCGAGAAATAAAGTAATCTTTTCAGCTAGTTGGAGAGGAATTCTTGGAAAAGAAATGTCATATGCTATTTACATTCTATACGAAGCTCCTAATTGCTGTGTTGGAGGAGTCCTCGAAGATTGATGATGCATTGCTCGCTAAAATCATTCCGCTCATCGCAATAGGGCTCAAGTGAGTTTCACATTTTAGTTATTTTAGAACAACCTTAACTTTTTTAAAACCTTTTTCAAAAACTAAAGTTTTTCACTGCTGGAGTGTTCTTGGGACTATTCTATTAAGGGGAGGGGCTTGGGTGCAATAGTTTGTGCCACGTGCGATTATTTCAATTGTTGCAAGAGAAGAAATCTCTAGGTGCGTCGTACTGCTGGCGCTTTGCTTTCTCAATTAGTAACGCAACGTCATGTTGATACTTGATCTTAGTTATGACGTGGCAATCGTATTCTATGGCTCATCTAGAAGTGATAGCTGAATATCTTGAAGGGGGCTTTTCCACGGCCTTCTAAATTGTGCCACGGTATTGTGAAAATGGTTGTTTGAAACAGATTCAAATTGATTTCTCCATCAAAACTCCATAGCCAACGGTATTTTCACAATACCGAGCAAAAAAAAAGAATCTGTAAGGACAGCTCGGTAAAATGAACTGCAAAAGGGGTCATAGAAGACTGCTCACTATCAATATTAGAACGAAGAAGACGTGCGCGTCGAGCTAAATCGAGATGGTTGCCGTCAATGGTATGTATTTTTTCAGAAGTGCTCTCCCATCTTTCCGTCAGGCATCGTTGATGGTAATCTGTCAACTGGCCGTAACCGTGAAGTTAACGCCAGATGTAGTGGCATCACTCACGAAGGTTGTATTGATGGTTAGTATACCTCTGTTTTGAAGTCTGATCGTAGTGATATCATATAACGTGAAAGTATCTTTTTTTTCCTAAAACTACGAACAGTTTTTGAAGCCTTTGGTCTACAAAATTTTTCAGCGAGTAGGTATATTTCATTGGGTGGGCTTCCTGCGCAGAAACAGCTGTGGTGGCATAAAGAATTTATCACGGTGTTTTTTTCCATAGGCTGAAGGTTCAGTAGGGGATTAATTGTTACATTCGTTCAATCTCCTTCTAGTAAATTCACAATATAGAAAGTATCTTACTAATAGCAGTTGGTATGCGTCCTCAATATTTATGTTCACCGCAGTTAACGACAAAAATTAGTTAAAATTAGGGTCACTGTTTTTCTCTTAACAAAGTCACTTTAGTTTGATTTAGTGACAAACCTCTGGTCTGATGTTTGTTTTCAAAAGAAACGTCTCTTTGAAAGATTGTTTCACTCAGGTTACTTCTCTATAAGCTCAAGTTTTTCAGAAGGTTCGGAGCAATTCACTGGAAAGCTCGCTGTCAACTCTAATTGTTTTATGCCAACAACAATCAGTGGAGTCCCTGTCAATCAAGTGGGCATTGCGAAAAATCTGATATATCGAGTATTCTCCCATTTTTTTTTTGTTTTCAGAGAGCCGGCTTTCGAACAAACGTTGGGCGCAATTGAGCAAGAGGGTTTGGTCGCGCTGAAAGTTATCGAGAAAAAACTGATCTAACTCCACTTTTGAAACCTCTATGGGCAACTCTGTTCTCCATTGCTAATGAAGGTTGTTTTTCTGAATTGTATCTTTCTGGTTTCTAGCGTATGAACACCTTTGTAGAGTCATACGAAGCAGATCACAAGCAGTGCTTGCATGCGTTAAGAGAAACCTCTGAACCAGAAAATCTTCATGGTCCGCAGGCAGCTGTTTTCTTAACGAAGCTTCTTCAGTATCCAGAACTGCGATTGCTTTATGAGAACAAGAAGTTTTGCAAGCACGTTTACAGTTTGGTGGCCAGGTAGAATTTCTCGTTTTTTGGGAGTTTGATGTTCGTTCAGAGTTTGTTCGTTTCTAGATTCTCGGATCAATGGGAAGAAATTTGTGCGGAATGGACTTCACGTGATGAGAACGTCCTTACTTGCATTGTTAAACATTATGCTTTGGAACCACTCATGATGGTTTGTCTCACGTATATACGGGAATCAAAAAACTTGTTGGTTTTCTGCTGAAAGCAGGATTACATTAATACTATTTGAGGTTCATGCACGAAACGAGGCAAAAAAGAAGCGTTCTCGACGAAGGTCCAATTCCATGCGTAAAAGCCTCTGCAATGTTGAAACAAATGATAAAGCAGAGGTGTGTTTCCGAAAACCGCAGCCTAACTTGTGGTTTATCCTCTTCCAAGTTTTTACGAATTTTCATTCCTTTTTGTCTCATTCTCAATCCTCCCTCCTCTTTTCGGTTGTTTCGGACTTCTTTTTCGTTACAAAATTCTCCGTTGGTTGAGAGCAGTTAGCAATAGTTTGAGACAAACAAAGTTTCAATAGTACTCACATTGAGTTGTGATTCTTTTGGCATATTTGCTCAGGTGTGTTCACACCTCGAAATCAGTTTTCCGGATTCATTGGAAATCTATTGTTCGCAAATTTGGTCTGCTTCTCATGCTGTGACGACCACTCACTGCTGTGGCGAGGTTTCAGCCGCTACTGTTGTGACCGGAAGACGAGGTAGAACAACTAACTTTATTCTTACTACAGAGGGTTTTTATACGACCCTCAAAACAATAATAAGAAGATCACTATTATCACTTTCATCGGTGGTTCATTTTTCTTGCCTTTCATAACAACCTTCGGTTGACAATAGAGAATGATTCTCTATACTCCGCGGCGAGCCGACGTTGTGAGGTCCTACCATTTGTTGATTGAACTGATGCGGAGTTCCTGAACTTCCGTACCGACTTGTCGAAACTCGAGACGTGTGGTGGCTGGTATGATCCTGATTCGTTGTGCTGTTTTGCAAGTCGTCTAGTCGAAGTTCGTCCTGCTGGTGACTAAGTCGTGGTCTCAAGTTATAATGATTACGTTGCGATTGCAATACCTCCCCCCTCCTGTTGGTTTCCTGTGTCGTCGATTCTTGTGTTTCTTCATCTTGAAGCTCGAGCGGGATGAGAAGGTTAATTGGTCGCCGGATGATACGCCCACTCGGTAACTTGACTTGCGCTTCACGAATGGTTCCGTTCACTGATGAGAGAAGATTCTTGTATTCGTCCTACTTTCCAAGTGTTTCGCGGTAGTATTGGGTCGTGAACAAGTACCACAGTGTTTCGAGTAGGGATTTTTCGAGTTCCGCTTCCTGTTGTTTATCAATAGCTTGTGTTTTTCTCGAAGGCTGGTAAGGTATTGGATCTCCATATTGACCAGAATTTTTCTGTCATTTGGTGGCTTTTCTTTAACGCTTGTTCTGCTTGCTGGCGAGTTCTCAGTTGTGCCATTTCGTTGGATGGAAGATATTCTTCGTCATCGTGCTCTGTTCCACAAGTTTCAAATGGGTAAGTGACGATTATGTCGCGTTGTATGAAGTCGATCGGTCTCAGAATTGGAGTTTCTTCCCAATTTTCTTCTTGGTAGGTAAGCGGTCTTGAGTTCAGAGTTCCTTCTATCTCAGTGAGAACGGTTTCCAGATCTGTCTTTGTCAAAACTGTTTTCCGTGTTACTTTGTAAAGTGTGTATTTGACGGATTTTATTAAACGCTCGTAAAATGCTCCTTGCCATGGAGCAAATGGTGTGATTGTTCTCCACTCCACTCCTTTTGAGGCTACTAAGTTGATGAATGAGGGATCCTGCGTGATTGAGCGTACAGCATCAGACAGGACCTGTTCTGCTAAGAGAAAGTTAGGTGCGTTGTCTGAGGTTATCGTTGCAGGGATTCCTCTTCTTGCGAAGAATCGACGTAGTGCGTTGAGAAGATTAGTCGTTGTCATATCGGGAACAAGTTCCAAGTGAAGAAGCCGTGTCGTTGTGCATGTTATGATTATTCCATATACTTGTGTCACTTCTTCCTTTTCCTTGGCGGATATTGGGCCAAAGTAGTCGATCCCCACATGTTCAAATGGTCGTGCTCTTTGTACACGTCGTTTAGGAAGATCCTCCATTTCAGGGTATTTGTACGGGAGGTTGTTCATTTTTTGACATGGAATGCATTTCCTGATAACAATTTGAACTAATTGGCGAAGTTTCGGTATCCAATAATTGTTCCTTACGTTGGCTATTGTATGAGCTGTAGTACAGTGGAGGGGAGAGTGAGCTTCCTGTACGATTATCTTGGCCAGCTCACTCTTCGCAGCTATAAGGATGGGTTGACGTGCTTCGAATGGGAGGTCGGCATTTTCCATCCGTCCGCGACATCGAAGTATGCCGTACTTGTCTCTTCGTATCTTTAATTGTTTCAGTGAGTTCAGTTGTAATTCTTGAAAGTGTACCATCTGGTGATTGCGGACTATCACTTGCAGCGAAGCTTTTCTTTCAATTGCTGTGACGTATTTTTCGTTTGTCAGTCGACGGAGTTCAGGGATGGTACTTGTGATGCGTGATTGCAGTTCTGAGGACGTTTTCGATATGAGGTTTTTGATGAAGCGTAGAACATATGCCATCACTATTTTGATAGAGGTTGTTGTATTGTGTCGTTTCCAATCGAGTATCTCCTTCATGTTGTTTTGCGATGATGATAATGTTGTTAAAATGTGGTTGCTCATTCCTTCGTTGTTGCTCGGTAGGACGAAAAGTTGGCAAGTTTCAGGCCATTCTGTCAGTGGTTTCTTTATAAAAGTTGGACCCTTCCACCATATATGGTTGATAAAGTTGTTTTTATCTACTCCACGTGTAGCGCAGTCTGCCGGATTGTCCGTGCTGTTGACGTATCCAAGTCGTACTGGTGCTGAGATTTCGGATACAATTCTCCTAACTTCTTCTACACGATTCTTTACTAGTACTCCCACTGTTCTTTCAATCGGATGAGAATTCAGCCAGCTTAGAGCAATTTCTGAATCTGAGAGAAGAATCACTTCTTCGATTCGTGTGCGATGATGTATAGCTGAGAAAATGCTGTGTGCTAGTCGGGTTGCTATTGTTAGAGCGTTCAGCTCTAGCTTTGGAACTGTCATTCTCTCTTTTATAGGAGATAGTTTCGCTTTTTTTTCCAGTAATCAGATTTGCTTCGTTGCTCGATACGATGTATGCGCATGTTGCCATTGCTTGTGTACTGGCGTCTGAGAACAAAACAAGTCTTGACCTAGTCCCGATTTGTGCAACCTTTCTTGGTATAGTGTAGAAGAAATCTTCAATTGATTCCGTGATGTTCTTCCATTGAGTCTGATGTTCTTTTGATAGCGCACTGTCCCACTGGTAGTTGAATTTCCACAACTGTTGTAGGAATCTTTTTCCAGCCAGCGTTAATGGCGTAAGCCATCCTAGAGGGTCATAAACGGCTGCAACTTGTTCTGAGACTGATCGCTTCGTGATGTTTTCTTTCTTCGGGTATCTGCATTTGAGGGTTATTTGGTCGTTCCTTGTGTTCCATGTGATTCCTAGCACTTTGACTTCGTCTGATGTGCACAGATCTATTGGTGCGATTTGATCTTTCAGAACACTGTTGTTTGACTGAAACTGTCGTAGATTCATATTGAGTTCATTGAAAATCCTTTTTGTGTCTTCATAAACTTTCAGAGCCTCACTAGTTGAAGAAGTTGTTAATATGAGGTTGTCGACATAGATATTGTCCTCTATGTCTTTTGCAAGGTGTGTGTCTTCCACCATTGTCCTCAAGTGATGGCTGATGGTGCCTGCAAGTAGGAATGGAGAGCAGTTGAGTCCAAAAGTCACCCGTGTAAAACGGTATGTGACTAAGTTCGCTTGGTTGAGTGGTTTTCGAATGTTTCGGATCCACATGAATCTTGTCGCATTTCGGTCTGATGGATGTAATCGGACTTGTAAGAAGGCTTTCTCTATGTCACTGCTGATCGCTGTATCTCCGATTCTGAAGCGGAGCAGAATGTCACATATTTTGGGTAGTATAACTGGACCTTGGTTGAGGACATCGTTGAGTGATGGACAATTTTTCAGGTGTGCTGATGCATCAAAGACGATTCTTAGCTTTGTAGTTTCTTTTTGGGGAGTGATTACTGCATGATGAGCTAGATAGTGCACAATTTCCCCTTCAGATGTTTGTTCATCACGAACTTCTTCAATGATTCCTCGCTCCAACTGGTCCATGATTGTGTTGTGATACTGATGGAGTATGGTTTCATTTTTGGCGAGGTGGATCAAATTTGCTTTCAACCGTCGGTAGGCGAGTTGTTTGTTGTCTGGTAAATGCTTGGAGTTGGGTTTCCATGGAAGACGTACATAGTATCCGTCAGCCTTTTTCTCGATACTTTCCTCAAATGCTTTCCAGATTGCGTCATTTGCAAGCTTTCGTTCTTGCGATGCGGGTCCGGTAAACTCTTGAGATCCTGTTCTCTCGAATTCAAAAAATTGTTCCCAGGATTGTTCTGTAGATGTCGTCGGGATAGAGTCCGCCTGGTTCTTCGTTTTGTGAATCATTTGAACATAGGCTTTTTTCCTCATCTCTTTGTTGTGTTGTGCTTGGTGGTGGACGTGGAGTCGTTGGTTGGGGTGGGATTGGAGATGTTGGTGGTGGTGGTGGAGACTGGAGAACGGGGTGTGGAGGTAGGGTTGGTGATAATGGAGGTGTGGGGGGTTGCAGTGGCAGCGGTGAAGGATGGAATGGATTTGGGATTATACTGGGAGCTGGTGATTCGGCGAGACCTTGTGATGTGCTGAAACTTGAACCTGTTGTTGGTGATTGTTCAGTTTTAGTTACATCGAGTAGATTACTCAGTTGTGGTTTTTGTCTGATTGGCTGTGTATCTACTTGATGAATTGTTTGAACGGGTGGTTTTCCAACATCATCTTGTTGTAGTTTACTTCTTCCCGATATAAGGTACCCTAGTTTAGAAGGGATCACTTTCAATCCCGACGGGAGCGTATATTGCTTTTGTAATCCATTTCCAAGAATTGAGAAAAGATCAGCGCATCCAAGAAGAACTGTTGGCTGCACCTTTTTTATGGATGGATCAATGGATAGATGTATCTCGTTTTCATAGATAAATTTCTTGTCTTCCTTGCTGAGGCTAGAACGTGCCAAAGTTGGCGTGATTGTTGAAATACGTGTGACCGTGAATGTGTGTTGATTTCCATCCACGTCCCACAACTTCATGACTGTGTTTCTACAGGTCCTTTTCATCGGTTTCTGTGATGCGAACGTATTGATTGTCAATTCCGTAGTATCGACGTTCGTTAGTTGGAGCCGATCTGCAAGCTCGTCACTGATGAATGAGCGATCTGCTCCTGTATCAAGCATGATATGAATCGATTCAAGTGCTCCCGTGGTAGGGTTGAGTACTTTCGCTTGTCCTGTCAGAAGCATAACATTGTCGTGGCTGCTGCAGTCGGGTACCGTTTCTTGCTTTGAATTTGTATCTTTGGCGAAACCGCTGTATTTACGTTTGTCGATTTTATTAGCTCTGTAGATTTTTCTGTTTGTTTTCTCGGGTTTTGAAACGTATGAAGATTGTTCTGCGGAAAAAGAGTCTTGCAGATTGAAGTGTGGTGACCAGTAATTCCGCATGCTCTACAAGCTCCTTTGGTACACTTTGCTGCAGTGTGATCCTTTTGTCCGCAATTACGGCAGAGCTTTTGAGCCTTTATGATTTCAAGACGTTGGTCCAGTGATGGTATCTCAGTGCAGTTCTTCGCTGGATGCCCTGTTTTTCCGCAATAAAAGCAGGGTGCTAGTTGATTTTTCGCGAAGTTTCTGCTGAGTGGAGACTTTCTTTCCTCCATCCCACTCGTATCTCGCTTCCTCTTGTTGTTGGAGCTATGACTTTTCACCTGTCTGATTATTCTCAGTTCGGCTTCGACAAATTCCTTTGCAGTTCGTAAAAGGGCCATAGTGCTCCAGGTTTCTTCTGTTTTCAGCTTTGGTTTCTGCCGAAGGATCTGTCGTTGGACGTCTATGGAGAATTTCCCAAGCAGCTCTCTTTGTAGAAACGTATTGTCGATGTGCTCCCCGTGAAGATCAAGTTGTGATGTAATGGAGAGGAGTTGCTCGCAAAGGGTTTCTTGGTCTTCTAGACTATCGCTGTTGGCTTTCGCTGATTGAAGTTTATTCAAGAGTCGATCTACTAGGGCTTGGGTGTCTCCGTACTTTTTCTTTAGATGAGCTACGACTAGAGGATATGTTTCGCTTGAAACTTGAAATTGCTCCACTGATTGCTTAGCTGCTCCTTGAAGAGCGTCCATGAGATAGTTGAGTTTGTAAATGTTGTCGATGTTCTTCGAATGAATCGTGTGTTCGAACGTTTTCCAGAAAGTTTCCCATTCCCAAATCTCACCGCTGAACTTGGGAACGGGAACTGGTGCAAGTTTTACCTCTGAGATTTGGGGTGATCCCGAAACTGAAGGTACTTCAAGAGGTTCCGTTCCTCGCTGAAGTACTGTGAGAGTTGTAAGCGCTTGTTTGCGCTTGATCAAGCAGTTCCTGTGCTGCTTCGATGTTGGTGTCAATCCTTTGCGAAATTTCCGACGAACTGAGTAATTCTGCGTTCCAGACTGTCGGCAGCTTTGGCATATTTCTCCAAGGAGCTTTCAAGGGTGCCTAATTCAGCTTCGATTGCTACAATTGCTCGTCTGATTCTTCTAGCGCGATCTTCAACTTCCTCATCTTCTCGTATGCCTGATTGTGCAAGAAGATCTTCGTGACTACGAATGACCGAGGACAGGCGATGAATGGATCGAGTCAAGAGCCCTTGGCGAACTGACAAGGAAGACGTCATGAAAAGTTTCGACTTACGCTCTTGAGTCGTTGGAGGTCTTCTTCTAGCTTCTGCCTCCGTCGAATCTGCTACTCCGGCCGATGCACCAGATGTGGCGAGGTTTCAGCCGCTACTGTTGTGCCGGAAGACGAGGTAGAACAACTAACTTTATTCTTACAGAGGGTTTTTATACGACCCTCAAAACAATAATAAGAAGATCACTATTATCACTTTCATCGGTGGTTCATTTTTCTTGCCTTTCATAACAACCTTCGGTTGACAATAGAGAATGATTCTCTATAACTGCCCACTGCCTCGATTGGAACGCGTGTGAAAGCTGCATTCTGTTCTCGACATCGGACTTGACATCTAACTCTATAGTGCGTCATTGCAACTGATGCCATTCACTACAAGCTCGTTTAGATAATAGTGGAAGCAAAATTGAAAGCAGCGGATCGGAGAAATGACTGATAGTTCAAGTTGAGAAGGCTCTAGCCATTAGAATACTTTGAAAGAAGTGCGTTGACATTATCAAATGATTATCGACCTACGAGCTGGAAATTGCCCACTCACCGTTTCTACTGCGGAGCCATATCAAACAAAAGCTGCGTTTAGCCTGGCCTTCCTACTTGCCTTTTACCGCATTCCATGGATTACCTGGTGTACGCTTATGCACGAAGTCATGATTTATTCATGAAAGGGAGCATCTGGAGCAGTAGTTTCTCCCACCTTCATTCATTGACTCCAATTTTTGCAAGGGAAACTTCCGGTGTGAGTATGAAAGTGAAAGCGAAATGGTTAACGTACTCTGAAGATGCTTCCTCTTTGGCCTTATATCTCGAAATTGTATACACGAGTTTTTTTCAGGGAAAAGGTGCTCCTTGAAACGTGCAGAAGAAATGGCTTTTTCATCAGAATTTGCTCGACGAGTTAGAGTTTGCTGGTGATCCTATGAGGAAAGCACGTGAATGGATTGGCAAGGAAAAATGGGACAAAGTGAGCGTTTATTTTAATAGTTTTAGCCAAGTTTTTAAGTTTTCTAAGAAGGTGGCAAGACATGTGCCCTTTTAGAGAAATTGTGAAATTTCGGTTGTGAGCAGCATGAATTGTGCGACTGACGTATGATAGCTCAGATAGAGTAACGTACCTCTTCAGATGCGAATATGTTGTTAAAACGTTAGCATGATAAATGAGCATGATTCTTCGACGAGCGGTTTATTAGGTATGAGAGGTATGAGAAGTGAGTAGTACTTAAAGGCGGTTTTCACCAAGAAATGGAAGCCTAGTGGAAATCAAGTTAGACAGCGTACCGCGCCGACAGCGCTCCAATGCGCCATGGGTAGGGCATGCTAGATCGCCGGAAGCATGTTTTTCGATGCGAATTGCGTGTCGGTCCGCACCCTCAGGAGGTCCGCCTGTCTCTCCACTAGGTGAATTTCCCTTCTTCGACCTTCGTCCTTATCGTGGAATCCTCTTTGAAGGCGGATTTCATAAAGAGATGGCAGCCTGTTTGGATCAAGGTACTGTGGGGAGGGGCATGCTGGTTTGCCGGGTCCACCTGTCTTTCTACTAGATAATTTCCGCTTCTTCGACCTTCGAGCTTATCGTGGAATCCTCATTTTGCCGATGTCAGACTTTACGAAATCGCTCGATTCGCAAAGTCTGGCATCGGCCTTCAAGTTTGTTTGGGGTTTTATGTTAGGTTAGTGGTGGATCTGGAGGAGTGGGGGAGGGGCGATAAAATAGCGTTAACGTATTTCAACGTAATAATAACCTATGGTAATTAAAAACCCTCTCAATCACAGAGTTCACCTAAAGAATGATCTTTTGTTCTAAATCGTACCACTACATTGATCTGCTTAGTTAGTGCAAACTATCGTACATTTTGTTATGTTCACCTGAGTTTATTTCGGATCACCAGAAATTTTGACAGCATTGCAGTGGGAGTGTGTAAAAGACATGAGGCCTCCCTTTGAATTAAGGCTGAATCTTTGGAACGGTTCCAGTTTGCGATGAGCGTCACTATGCACCTTTTATGTGATGTGTTTTTGAACATTTCATGCCTAGTATATTTTTGTAGGTAGCATGGGCTTTCGACGAGATGAGTTCTCGTAAATCCTACTTCGCCGACAAAGTCAATGAGGACATCGAGGCATTCGTCTTGGATGTAATTCATATTGCAGTTACGAATACAAAATGCCCAGTAGTTGCGAAGGCTCATTCGGCATTTGCGGAGGTAGATCATGAAATTTATTTTTGCAGTATCATCTTATACATATATTGATAGTTATCATGTGTCGTGTTGAAAATTTAGCTGTCTTTTAGGCTAATCTCCGAACCGATTTCCTTGTGGGACTTTTATCTCGCTGTGAAACAAGCTGGACC